TTCCATGCCTCCATCTGCTCATCCAATTACAAATCCCTTTCAGTGGATTTAGCTACCACAGAATTAGGTAAGTTTGCAAACACTCAAAACCTATTGCAAGTAATGTAGAATAGAAACAAGGGTGAAAAGGGTGCAGGATTAGAAATCTACCCATGATTCTAATGAACCTTAATGAACATTCAGACTCTCAACTGCCACTTCTCACCAAAATGGGCTAGTGCCATTTGGAAGCTGCAATCGTCATCTGAACATCAATCTATTGGATGGATTTTTAGTTTTATTTGAATATATTAGTATTCTGATGTATGTTAATTTTAACAAGTGCTTTGCTTTCAATTGATTTGAAACCCTCCCCATTGTGGGTGGGCATCCTCTGATTCCTTAGGGGTCCAAATAGAACAAAAAAAGAAAGGAAAGATGAATTTGCTCTCTCCCTGCTTGAGCTGAGACATCTGTCCTCTGTCCTTGGACTTTGATGCTCCTGGTATTCATGTTTTCAGACTCAGAACCGAATTGATACCATTACTCCTGATTCTCAGACCTATGGTCTCGGCTGAATTATCCACTAGCTTTTCTGGTTCTCCAGATGGTAGATGGCAGATCATGGGACATCTTGGCCAACATAACCACATTAGCCAATTCCTATACTAAGTCCTGTTGGCTGTGTTTCTTAGGAGAACTCTGACTTATACAATGCTTATCCCATAAGCTGAGGACCTATGGCTAGGAGACATTCTAGAGAGTCGAGAAATAGGGGACATTTGTTTATGTTTTATCTGTCATATGCAGTTTCTTTCCATGCCTTTATCTGCTCATCCAATTACAAATCCTTTTCAGTGGATTTAGCTACCACCGAATTAGGTAAGTTTGCAAACACTCAAAACCTATAGCAAGTAATGTAGACTAGAAACAAGGGTGAAAACGGTGCAGGATTAGAAATCTACCCATGATTCTAATGAACCTTAATGAACATTCAGGCTCTCAACTGCCACTTCTCACCAAAATGGGCTAGTGCCATTTGGAAGCTGCAATCGTCATCTGAACATCAATCTATTGGATGGATTTTTAGTTTTATTTGAATATATTAGTATTCTGATGTATGTTAATTTTAACAAGTGCTTTGCTTTCAATTGATTTGAAAATATTTTAGGACATAAAATATCACAGATGGTTTACAAAACAAGTGTAAGAAATCTGTGGTTCCCTGACCTGCCCCGTCATAACTCCAAGTTCTGCTTCCCAGAGGCCACCATATATTTTTTTCAGTTTGGGCCATTTTTTTTCCATTTTTTACATATGGGCCCAAGTATATGTACACAGCTATATAAAACTTAGGACTCTCCACCCTTTTATTTTCTGCTGCAATAGATAGAATTTAGTTTTATTATGTTATCTGTCCACCTTCTCTATTTTTTCAATATAATTCTTTTGGCTATTTTTGGTTATAGCAGTAAATGGTCCTTATGTTTTGTGATTTTTGTCACTGCTTACTGATGAGCCAAGACTTATATTATGATTATGTTGTCTTTCTATTCTAGTTTTTGGTTTTCTCAAAGTTTGTCTTTCTCTTTTTGTTGTAATGGGCTTCTTTAGAATAATCCCTTTTTTTTTAAGAGCTTACATCTTGCAAGGTTACATTCGTTTTGTTGTTTATCTTCAACTTTCCTGCTGCTTTGGGATGTCACACAGGCTCTAGAAGCCCCCTACCCATCCACCCAACCAGCCTACCTGTGCATCCCAGGCTGGTTCCAAGTACACGATTATTGATTTTGCCTAAAATTCACTGAAAGTGAATGTAATCTCATACTGATGATGCCACCTAAAAGTCAATACCAGCCCTTAAGAATCAAGTCTGGAGTTAGGTGAAATTCATTGGGGGTAGACTAGGGAGGCGGGATAAAGAAAAGCAGGGAAACCTCTGAGATTGGATAAGGAGTAAAGCTGATAGGCACATAACTCTTCTACATTGGTGGGTACAGGATAGTTAACAACTAGCATTTACAGCACATAGAGATGGTTTACAGAGAACAAGATAACAATGAGGGATTCTGTGCTCTGGTGGGAGATTCTACCCCAGGAGGCTGACTTTCCAAAGGTATGTTATTTTAGATGCAATATGACAATAGGCTCAGTTAAGTAGAGATCAACCTTTGTCAAGGAAGGTACTGGCCTAGGCCTTGACTACCCACCATGACTCACTTTTAGTTAGGAAGTTTTCATTTCAGACCATGTGGTTACTTTAGGTCTCTGAGTGTGTGAGGCTGCCATGCAGGCCTGCCCTGAGCTTGTCAGGGTTAGTATGTGGCCCCTTTTCCACCCACACTATCAAATGGTTCTGGAGGGTCTGCTAGAACTCAGAAGCAGGATGAGGTATTCCATGCCCTGGGTTTGCATGGATGCTAAACAGCAAGGGTCTTCCGTTCTGTGTTACGGGTTCTCCAGCCATCCCTGCTCAGTGACAGAGGTCTACTGAGTCTCACAAAAACAGTCAACATGTCCAGAGAGACACGAGAGGAGCCAAGAAACCTCCAGAACCTCACAGTTCCCTTGTTAGAGCCAAGCTGTATTTCTAGGGGAGCAGGGCTTTCTAGGAAGGACAGGGATGTGTCCAGTAGAGAAGGCAGATGCAGGGCAGCAACACGTCGCCCAGTGATGAAGAGCAGGTACTTGGAGGTTCTGAGTGTCCGGCTTTGCCAGTGTCTAACCTGGGCTCTGAGCTTCTGTAAAATGGAGATATGACAGTAACACCTCTTGTGCAGAAAAGAGTTGACACAGCCGGCCCGGGACTGCTAGCTAAGAAACACCTATTTGCTTGGAGGGCCCTTGGCAGCATCGGGGAACTTGGAGTTAGGAGGGGAGGGCTCCCATCATTCCCCGATAAGAATGGCTCACTGAGGCTGAACAGTTTCTGCAGACAGTATAGTTTATGCTGAACCCCTGCTTTCCTTCTGGAGTCTGAAGTTTTGGCACAGACCAGGCAGACGGTGCCTATGTGACACGTCCCCAGTTAAATCCTCAGCACCTAGCCCAGTGATGGCGAACCTATGACACACGTGTCAGAGGTGACACGCGAACTCATTTTTTTGGTTGATTTTTCTTTGTTAAATGACATTTAAATATATAAAATAAATATCAAAAATATAAGTCTTTGTTTTACTATGGTTGCAAATATCAAAAAATTTCTATATGTGACACGGCACCAGAGTTAAGTTAGGGTTTTTCAAAATGCTGACACGCCGAGCTCAAAAGATTTGACATCACTGACCCAGCCTCTATGAGCTTCCCTGGCAGACCTCATTCCACACGTGCTGTCACCATTCAGGGCTGGAGGCATTAGTCCCGTCCCGTGTGAGTCCACGGGAGAGGACCCTTGCAAGCTGTGCCTGCCTCCCTCCAGACTCGTCCCACACACCCTTTCCCATCACTGGTTTTGCTTTGTGTCCTTTCACTGTAATAAATCACAGCCATGAACATGACCATACGCTGGGTCCTGTGAGTTCTCTGAGCAAATGAAACCTGGGTGGTGTTGGGGACCCCAAATCAAGGGCTGTGGTGAATTTTCAGTGAGGTCATACACACTGGACATTTCGCACCATGCCAGGGACAGGCAGAGTCACATCAGAGAGAAGGAAGCATCCCCAACACCAGGACTTTGTCCACCTTTCCCCTGAGTATGGGGTCCTCACTGCTCTCAGAGTAATGACCATCCCTGGGGGCTGCCACTACAGCATGGAGAGTCTCTCTCTGCATTTAGTGTGAGCTTCACAGGATTGTTGCTGTAGGGGTTGGAACTGTTGTATATTTTCCTTTTCACTTGCTTCCTCTATAACTCTTTAACTCAAACTTATTGGACTATTGAACGGTATTTGTTAGCATTTAGGTTACAGGTGGATAGTATCACAGAATGCAACATAGGTAAATTAATTCAGCTGTGGGTTTCCTCACTACAAGTGTCTTATTGAAAAACAAGAACAGTATTAATTCATTAATATTTTCTTTTTTATACTCTCACTTGAATGGCATAGCAACCACTGGGAAATTCATAATCAGGAAGGGGATAGTAAGGCATTTCTGTTCTGGTTCTAAAAACACTTGGCTTAGCATTTTCAGTGCTTGCTCGGGTATGAATGCATGCAAAAGCACTCTTCTAAAATGATTTTTCTAAATTGTTGTTTTAAAAAAGATGGTCATAAAGTTTACTTAAATGTCAAGTGGACTCAGCCAACACATGACCAAATTATATTTTCCAATGTATTTTTATTTTCACTAAATACACGGAGAGATGGTATACAGAGCCACTTACTTATTTGGTATCATTTCCTGGCCACTAAAAACATTGCAGGCCCTCAACCACTGTGACAGGAGTGTAATAGCCTAGACTCTTCTGAGGTAACATGATTGTATAACAGCTAATATAGCTACCGATTGGACATTGTTACTTGAGACTGTGAAGCAGCAAAAACAAAGAGAAAAATGGGAAAATAATCAGGTTTCTGTATTCCTCTGACAGTTAGCTTTTTTCCATGCAACAATTTACTCCAAAGTATAATGACCTAAAGCAAAGCCATTTATTTGTGCCCTGATTCTGTAGGTCGGTACTATGAGTCCAGCTCGTCTGGGTGGTTCTTCTGTTGGTTTGCGTGGGCTCCTAGTGGCCAGCTGCTGCCCCCCGGGCTGGTGGCTGCTGGCCTGATGGGTGCCTGGGCCACATGGTCTGTCATCTCCCACAGGATGACCTGTCTCTCATGCTGGCAATGGTTCCCAGAGCAGCAGGAGGGAAAGCCCCCATGTGCAAGCATGTTTCATCCTAGTGTCACTGTGGTTTCAGTTGTCCCATGGGCTACAGCAAGCTACATACCCTGAAAACCGAACTTACATATTTTGTAGGTGGTATATAGAGGAACTACTGAAAAGATGTAACTCTGGACAAATTAATCATTTCCCTGGTCTTCTGCTGGCAACAGATAAACAGCTGCCTCTTTTCTGTTTGCCTTTCTCAGGTCTTTGCATCATGTTTGGAAAGAAAAAGAAAAAGATTGAAATATCTGGTCCGTCCAACTTTGAACACAGGGTTCACACAGGGTTTGATCCACAGGAACAGAAATTCACCGGCCTGCCGCAACAATGGCATAGTCTGTTGGCAGATACGGCCAACAGGCCGAAGCCCATGGTGGACCCTTCATGCATCACACCCATCCAGCTGGCTCCCATGAAGGTATGACGAAGATTTGGCTTTAAGTTGACTTAAGAAGCAGGTTGTCATTTGATGAAGCGTCTCATCTTTAAAGGCAAAGTATAAGATGCCTACGCAGTGTATTTGTTTTGAAATATCCACAGATTAGCCTAATTATTTTTCAATGATTATAATGCTCACCACTTACTGTAAATTGCAGCACATGCAAAGGATCCTCAGGTTTACATGTGAGATCTTTTTTAAAATCAGACACATAAAGTACAATCACAAAATCGGAAATGTTTATTGCACTTCAAGTGATGTTTGCTAATCTTTATATTGAAGAATATTACCCACCCCTTCTGGTAAATATTGGCAATAACTTTTGATTAAACATTATATTAGACAATCTTTTGTTGTTTTGCATTTGCCCTCCGAATGTTTGAATTCTTATATAAAATTTAGTATTAACGTATTTTAAAATAAATAATTTTATACATATGCATATATACACACATGCATAGATATACACATATACAAGTTTTATATATGTAATCATATATATTTACATATGTATGCATACATATATGTTCAAATTTGTTGCTATACTTTAAGAAATAGCTATTTTAAATAAAAGTGAATCATTTGAGTCATGGAATAAGATATAATTACCCTAGAGAAATGGCTAGTAGATTTTTGGCAAGAAATTGTCATGAAAATAATTGTGTTAAAGCAGAACTCAGATCCAATAAATTTCAGGTACATTAAGTTTCTACAGAGAAAATGCAGTCATTGCAGTTTTCTTCTGTACCTCAGAATAAGAATTCAATAGATCATCAAGTAATTGCCCCAAAAGCTCCCTAGGGTAGTTAAACATTTCTGAATTTTTCATTATGCTATCCCAATAGATCAGATTCTATTCTATATCTCTTGCTCATTATATTAGTAGACATCTGAGCAACATGAATACCTTATTCTATGTTAACATGAATATTGACTAGATTGTATTTAAATGATAGGCAAATCAAAAGTGGATGCATTCTTTTAAAGGATGCAAAGTAGGATCATAGTTAATAAATTATGGGAAAAGCTTATTTATAAGGTGTCATCTGAGCTGACTAAATTAGAATTGCAATTCCATTATTTGTGCATCATCTTGGTCATTCTGTTCTGGTATTGAATATGTGAGTATATTCTACCTAAAGATCAATGCAGAGTCTTCTGATTCTGTATCTTGTAAATTTCATTTTCTGATAGGGTTTTGAAACTTTTTAAGCCAGGTAAATGTAAAATATACAAAGATAGATATTTGAAAAGATAAATCTTTAGGAACAAAAGGACTTTCAATTTTAAACAGGTATTGATTGAGAGTTAATAGAAACTGACTAATTAACCAACTCTACTGATTAATAATAGGAAATATCTTACTATTTGAGCATATCCCCCCACCAAGAGAAGGCTCATACTTAATTAATGACCACATAATAGGGTGGGCCACATATGAAAAGAAGTAGGGATTGGAGAGAATTTCCTTTTTTGGTTTCATTAGTTTTCTCATATCCCAAGTTTTTATAAAAACTAGAAAATGGAGTGTTCAGTATACCCAGAAAAGTCCTCTGCTCTTGGTCATCATGATAAAGGAAAAATGCCCAAATAACTACCTTGAGTACAGTTATCATTTGATGAGGAACATTCTAGAAGGATAGAACATTCTAGAGTCTTAGGGTAACATTCTAGCTGAAGGCCCAGGAAAAGTGCTCTCTTTTAGAGAACATGTTTATTATTGGGTGAGGACAGGGTATCATTAATTTCACCATGGTTTTTCACTTCTCCAGGCCATAACAGGTCCTGGCGAGCAGTGAAGGAGGAAGCTCAGTGGTAATCCACCATGCTCAGTGAACGTAGTACTTAAAAGGACCATTTAGCTCATTTTTTCCATCTTCTGGATGAGCTGGCTTATTATCCTCTATGACAGAATTTAAAAGCCCCACTGAGAGTTGGTTTGCTAAGTGCTGAGTTCCTGAGCCCCACGATGCTCTTACTCACTTTATCGCTTTCTACCCCTAATGCCAAATGTGTGAGCATCCAGTCCGTATGACATGAAAATATTGGTTATAGATGCTTAAATGCCATCTGGGGGATGACTGGAAAATACATCTTGAGTATAGATCCAGTCCTGTATTTCTGCAAATGAGACTTCAGACACAGTTTTTACCTGTGGGAAAAAAAAAACCAAACAAACAAGAAATGACAAACAATGGTCAACTAGGTTAAAATTCCCCCAGAAAGAGTAGAGTTACTCAAATGCTTTTAACTGTACCATATACTCTCACCAAACTTCTTCAGACTGGTCCTCTCTCTCTTTCCAAATCCCATGAGTGCAGTTAGCACTGTTACCAGGCTCTTAGAAAAGGGAAAGTAAAATGTTTAAGGGGCCAAAGTACACCATGTAGATTGGATGATCCCACTGTTTGGAAGTGTCTTCTCCGGAGAAATCATCCAAGTCACTGCGAATTACGTATTATAAACCATGCAGAATATATCTCAGAAGCTAGAACAATCATTGAACTAAGAAGCTATGAATGAATCAACAGGAAGGAGTGTACACATAGAATTGTGCAGATTTAAAGCCATTTTGGCACAGTTATTTAAGTAAAACCAACAATTCTAATTTGGTCCAGTTGTCCTTATTTAAAAGGAACAAGGAGCCCTAGCTTTTTAATATATATTTTAATATATTTTTATTGTTTTTTTACAGAGAGGAAAGGAGAGGGATAGAGAGTTAGAAACATCGATGAGAGAGAAACATCGATCAGCTGCCTCCTGCACACCTCCTACTGGGGATGTGCCCACAACCAAGGTACATGCCCTTGACCGGAATTTAACCTGGGACCCTTCAGTCCGCAGGCCGACGCTCTATCCAGTGAGTCAAACCGGTCAGGGCAATAAAATATATTTTTAAAAAATAAAATAAAATAAAATAAAAGGAACAAGGAAAAATGAGACAAGAGATAATGACATAAAAGCAGTCAATGGAAGAAGGGTACAATGGCTTATGTCTTGGCCAAATGCCAGTTTTCCAATATTTGTGAGCTTCGGACAGGCTGGTTCTGAATGGAAATCTACGATTGTAACCAACTCTCTCTTCTATATTGACTCGGGTTTTCAGCTGTTCCTATTCAGAATTTTCTTTAAATGGCATGCCATATGACTTTATTTTGTAGTTGTGGAGGACTCAGGGCCTTCTGCAGAGTCTTTCATTATGCGCGTGATCCACAGTTTTCTCACATGAAGTAGGCAGAACATTTAAACAGGAAGTGTCAATGAAAGTGTGCACCAAGAAGCAAATGAGTAAATGCCCAAATGCGTGCTGCTCACCTGTCTCCAGGGTGGCCTGGCTGCTCCTTGGGCTGATGGTATGTGAAGTTAAACAGCAAACCTCCAGATCACAAGCTTCTCTCCCGACTTCTGTTGGTTTCTCCTGAGAGGCCTGTCCTGACCTCCTGTCAGCTGAACTTGTCAAATGAGGATGGTGGTGCTTTGATAACTGGAAAATTCTATATAAAGGGAGATGATATTGTCAGGAGTGCCTTATTTGCCCCAGCGCTTCTCTACTGTCAGGGGTGACCTAACTGAAAATAACCCTTCTAAATCAAAAGAAAAAGCATGCGGCTCTCTCTGTGACTCCCACACATGCGTGGAACTTGAAAGATTTAATTTTACTCTCATTTAGCATCTCATAGAAATTGGGGCACTAAGATGGCCACTGTAGGCTTCTTTGTGGCACTGTCAACTCCTAGAATTTTTATCATTTTGTCTTGTATTAGTAAATATAAGCATTATATTGTTGCCTCTGTATAAACTAGTGAGAAGGCAATTCATCAATACTTTGATCATTTTCAAGCAGCACATCACTGTCCGAGTGTTTGAATGCTCCTGCTATTACCAATAACATTAAAACTTCAATGAAAAAAAAAACAACTGTGCCTGGGATGGCACGAATCTAAGCATTTGCTATCATCACATAATCCCCTTCCTTTTGAGAATCTTTGTATTAGTTTTTCATTGCTGCATAACAAATTACCACAAACTTCATGGCTTAAAGGAATACGCATTTATTATCTCACAGTTTCCCTGAGTCTGGAGTGGAGACAGGCTTAACTGGGTCCCTCTGCTCAAGGGCTCCCAGACTGCCATCAGCTGGGCTGCACTGCCCTCTGGAGGCGAGACTGGGGAAGCATTCACTTCCCAGCTCCTCTAGGTTGTGGGCGGAATTCACTTCCTCTCTGTGGAACTCAGAGTAGCTTGCTTTTTCAAGGCCCAGGCAGAGCAAGAGCCACTCTGCTTGGAGTCTTACGTATTCACCATAACAGAATCACAAAATGATATCCCAGTACTAATGCTGTATCATGCAGAACATAGCCGTGGGAGTGACAGCCCATCACCTCTGCCATGTCTTACTGGTTAGAAGCAAGCACAGGTCCTGCCTTCGCTCATAGAAAGGGGATTACTCAAAACTGGGAGCACCAGCAGGGGACGTCACCATAGGGCAGTGATGGCGAACCTTTTGAGCTCGGCGTATCAGCATTTGGAAAAAACCCAACTTAACTCTGGTGCCTTGTCACATATAGAAATTTTTTGATATTTACAACCATAGTAAAACAAAGATTTATATTTTTGATATTTATTTTATATATTTAAATGCCATTTAACAAAGAAAAATCAACCCAAAAATGAGTTCGCGTGTCACCTCTGACACGCGTGTCATAGGTTCGCCATCACTGCCCTAGGGCTTGTCCATTCTGCTCCCCATAGTCTCTCCCACATGCAAGATACATCAACCCCAGGTTCCCTGAGTGTCATCCCATTAGGGCAAAGGTGGGGAACTTCTGGCCTGCAGGCCATACAAGGCTCACGGAATCATTTGGTCTGGCCCTACCAAGGCAACTGCAGGTGAAACTTGAAATTCAATAAATCTAGGAGCTTTTATCATAGCAACATATATTTATATTAAGTGAATGATGTTATAAATATCTAAACAG